ACTGAAAAAAAAAAAAAAAAAAGGTATTACAGAAATTAAGAGTCAAAACACTTACCTGGATAAACCATGAGTTGTGATATTTTCTTCAAGTGGTGTATTCAATACCAAGTAATGTTTTACGGTGTCATAGGTGGTTAAGTCTGGCAAAAGGAAAAGGTTTGAATATTCAATCAACAGTGCATTTTATGTGTGTGTGTCAAGAATACGCTGCACTCAGGGCAAGACTGCGTTTCAGAATGAAAGACACTATTCTTGCCTGTAAGCAGAGGCAGGCTGGCCTACGGACAGTGGCAGAGGAAAAGAGGAAGAATAGACTCAGTTGTCTCATTGAAAGAAACCCTTCTATCTGGCATATCAACCTCTGAACTTTCAGCATTTGAACTGATAAATTCATTTTTGAGCCTAAGTTAGTTGATTTGAGACCCAGATGCATAATAAAAATGTCTGGACCATTATTCCATGCTAAGCTTTTTTCCTTGTTTTTTATTTTCCCTCCCTCCCTTCCTTCCTTCCTTCCTTTTTGACAGATTTGTAGTCCCAGCTGGCCTGGAACTCATTATATAGACCAGGCTGGCCTCGATCTCACAGAGATCCACCTGCCGCTGCCTCCTAAGTGCTGGGATTAAGGGCTTGTGCCACCATGCCTATCTTATACCTTTTATTAGGACAATAAAAAGCTATTAAAGGACTTTTCAACAGGAAAGTCTATCATATAACCCACACTGAAGAGTAGGAGAATAAATTATAACGTGGTAAGAATAGACAGGGACATTTGATCAGTCATCAAATATTTGATTGTAGGCTCACAGTAGGCAATGTGCCTGGTACATTTCTAAACCTTAGAGCAAAGGTCATGGGTAACAATATCACTGCTCTCTGCTGGGGAGGAGACAACATGCCAAATAAACTACAAAATATTCAGATGTGTTAGTTGTTCTTCAAGTAACTATTCTGAAGATAAATATGACAAAAAGAGGAGAAAAAGATGTTGCCTGTGAATTTTGAAGTCAGAGTGAAAAAGGAAGGTCACTTCCAAAGATGACATTTGCAGAGAGCCAAAGGAAGAGGGCTAGGATAGCCAGGAGAAAGTGTTCCTGGCAAAACAAAAGCCTTAGCTGCGACACAGCAGGCAAGCGGGATGTGGAGGAGCAGGCAGGAGACAGTGACTAGAGAGCAGCAGGAGACTGTGCTGGGTTCCAGCAGAGGGGTGGTGGCTCAGGCTCCCCTTGAGAGAGCTCAGAGGCCAGACTGTGAGAAGACAAGGGAGCTAGTTATAAGACTATGCAGGCAATCCTGGCAAGAGAAGGTGATGGCTTTTTGGGGTGCCCTGCTCAGATCTCGGTAAATTCTGAAAGCAGAAATAGCTACCAGATTAAATACACAGAAAGGAACAAAAGATGACTGCAGGGTTCTGGGTATGGAAAATTTAAAGGACAGAGCTGTCATATTTTAGATAAAGATGGAAATGGACAGCTTTTACATTTTTAAAATACGATAACAGCAATGGCCACCTTTCCCAAACCAGGTTCAAGGGCACAGTGGGGCAAAACAGCTACAGGGTGCATGAGGAGGGACCAACGAGGAGGCTTCCGAAGTGTCTAGAGAGGATGGGGAGAAATCATAGGAGAACAAAGAAGTGCTCCAGGGATGGACAGAATGCATGGATTCAAGTTATACCCAAAAGATCGGATGACTGGAGCTAAGGAGCCAGAAAGAGGAGCAAGCCAAAAACCATGCCTTATGCAACAAAATGGATTGTGATGTACTTGAGATGAGGAAACGGAGCAGAGGCAATATGAGAAAGTTTGGTTTGGAATCAAAGTGACACTCTAGAAAAGAGAGATTCTGAGAAGGCTGCTGGAACTTGGAGGAGAAATTGAGGCTGTGATAAAAGTTTGAAGCAACAATATGAGAAACTACAGTCACAAAGATATCCTTCCTGCAAACAAAATTATCCACCAGTGACACAGCAGGCATACATGGAGTAGTGCAGCAAAACAGAAAATAGATTTGCTTCCTTCAATGTTTACGTGGTATGTTATTGGAACTCTCTCAAATGTTACTTATCATTTTTTTTCAGGATCACAGAACTGGATTTTTAAAGGAATCTTTGATGGATTAAGTCATGAATGTCTAGGGTCTACTATAAAGGACTGGGAAACAAAATCATGCTTATTACCTTCAAGGGCCTCAAGATCTAGTGGAAGGCATAGACACATATCACAGGGCAAGGAGATGAGGCACAGCAGGAATAACAATAACCACAGAGAACTATAGAAACAGATGAAGGTACATTTAATGTGGCCCCACAGGGGAAGGGGGTTTGTGAGGCTCAGGAAGACCTGGATAAAGATAGTTCAGCTGAGTAGTAAGGGATCTAAAGAAGAAAACTACACAGAAGAACAAGATGGAAAATAGAGCGGTGAAGAGCACTTTCCTAGGTGTGGGACTGCAGTCTTCCAGTTCATGACCCTCTGCTTGGTTCTTTCCAGTAGACTCAATGAACCACGCGGCTTGCTGAAAGCCTGGGGCAGGTTTCGAGGATCTCCTACATCATGTTCCAAATTTTTCACTTCGTTATCTGATGGGAGGTCAGTGGAAGGTTATAAGGACATCAATAACATATCACATCAGTGTTTTAGATAAGGCACTCGGGATACTTGTAAAACTTTGAAGATGGAGAGAAAGACCTTCAGATGGGTGACTGTGGTTGTGAAGTTGGAAGGCTTGGTGGGTGTCTTGTAGGAAGGTTAGGATTAAGGTTGTGAGGGGGATACTTTTAAGATGAATGTAGAAGACGGAGGTAATTGGTAGCTTGGTGTCTACCTTCCAAGGCCTGCTATGTATGTAAACAAGAGATGACCAATCTCAGAGATGAAGCACTGGGATGACAGGACTTTCATTTCTGCACCTCAATGTCTGTATTCTTAGCAGGACAGACAAGCTGTTTCTTCACTCTTTGCTGCTGCTTTAACCTTTCCTATACTTCTTACACTTCCTGTGAAGGTTTTCTCTTCATCTTGGCAAAGGAACGTGACTAGTGTACCAATACCCATGGCTCATACATTTGTTTAGACATTACTAGCTGCAAGAAGATCACAGTCTCGTGGTTGATTTCACATTAACCTCTTGATGTTATGAAATGTCACTTCCACATCTATTTTTAAAATTTTTATTAGTGTGTGTATGTGAGATGTGCGCATGACAGGGGTGCACTTGTCACAGTGTGACTGTGAAGGTCAGAGGACAACTGTGTGGAATTGGTTCTCTCCTTCCACTTTTATATGATTCTGGGGATCAAACTCAGATTAACAAGCTTGTGTGGCAAGTACCTTTACTCACTAAGCCATCTTACTGGCCCCTCCATCCTTCATTTATATATATGGTCCATGTGTATGTATACACACATACATATATGTGTGTGTATGTGTTCTACATTCTATATATTCACGTGTTCTATATTTTAAAGTTATAAAATTAAGTAGATCCATTTAAAATTATGTACCTCCCTAGTATAGGCTATGCTATATCTTCTCATGACAATTATCTATCAACATATAATTCATTTATTTAAAAATGTTTTCCTCAGGAGCTGGAGAGGTGGCTCAGTCGTTAAGAGCACTGGCTGCTCTTATAGAGGACCCAGGTTCAATTCCAGATTCAAACCCACATGGCAGTTAACAACCATCTGTAACTCCAGCTCCGGGGGACTCTGACACCCTCTTCTGATTGCCACAAGTATTGCATGACACAGGTGCACTTACATGCATGCAGGCAATACCCTCATATACATAAAATAAAAAGAATAATTAAAATATTTAAAAAATGTTTTCCTCTTATGTTTTCTCTGTGATTTGTAGCTTCTCCAGTAATGTATATTACTATGTTAATAGCATTTGTTTAATAATAATTAATATTTGATATATATTTAAAAATTTTCTTGATGCAAGGTTTGACTATGTGAGTCAGGCTGTCCTTGAACTCATGACCCTCCTGTCTCAGCCTTCCAAAAAATATTTTCATCTTTACCAGCTTTACTAGGGTATAAATGACCAATTAAAACTTTATATTTATGGTCTATAAAAAAGAAATAAATTTGTAACTGAAAATGGGAAGTGATGGGTAGGGATGAATTAAGGCGGTGTGGAACGCTCATGTTTCCAGCCTTGGGTGCCATGGTGTTCAGGAAGAATTGCACAGGAAAAGGGGCAGAATTAGCAAGGAGAAACACTTGGCCAGTCTTAATGGAATGACCATCAGACAGTTATACATATCAGTTTGAATCTTAAAGGCAGTTCTGGACTGGGTAGAAGACCTTAGAAACAGTTTGGTCTTTCATCATTATTGGAACAATCTGTCTGATTTCAGACATCCTCTTCCTACATCACTGTAGACTGAGGTGAAAATACTCTAGGGTAAATATTAAATCAATAGCATTATAACAGATGTGTCACTGTCATGGGGTAGATGCCATGAAAAATAAAATAATGTTCATATCCTCATGTGAGTGCTTATAACTCAGTGATTAGGACTTAGATTCAAGGAAGTTTCCTTTACCTCCCATGTTCACAAGTGCTGCTCTTTGTATATTGGGTACCCAGCCGGCCCACAGTCCACGGATTCCTCCTTCAGCCAAGATTTTTGCAAATGCATGATGCACACCACGAAATCTAAGAGAAATAGCAAAGAAATGTGAAATTTCTATGAATTCTTGTGTATGGACTCCAATTATATAAACCTTCCTACAGTTGACAGAATATTTTTTAGAAAGGCCAGAAATTGAAGGAATGTCAAAGTCTGATTTCCAGATAAACTGAATAATTCTTTAGAGAAATAGGCCAACATTTGATATAAACATTTTGCTATCAATCTTTCATTCCTTTCCTTTTTGTTTATGGTTTTGAGGTGGAGCCTTGATATTTAGCACAGGCTAGCCTCAAACTTGCCTTCCTTTGCCTCACCCTCTTGAGTACTGGGACTATAGACGTGCACCACTCTGCCTGGCAGAACTTAGATAGTTTCAGTGGACGGCATTATAAACTGTGTCATCTTTTTATCTTTGAAGCCTAGTAAAGAGGGTAAAATATCTTTCTTGGCAACTTACATTGTCAGATACCATCTGAGTTAATTACAGGAAGAAACAGTATTTGTCAGACTTCTGGATTCTTTTACTCCTGAGGTAGGGGCCCTGCATGTTTTATAAAAAATTTCCAAATACCACTAAAAGAGACCACTGACTGTCAGGGTTAGGGGTGTAGTTCAGTGGTGGAATGCTTCTCTAACATGTCCAATACTCTAGGCTTGTTCCTTAGCACCACAAAACAAAACAAAAAGACCAAAAAGCAAACAACCATTGCCCTTCTTATAATCTTTTATCATCTCATAAGATGACATTTTTAGGTCAAAAATTAGAAAAGACCATCTAGAAGTCTTGAAACAAAATTATGAAAATGTCTGTCCTACTCTGCTCTTACTTTTGTAGACACCTGAAAAATACGACTGAACCAGAAGCCAAGGCTGCAAGCCTGTTATAAAAGAAACATCTGGGCTTTCTGCAGTTCAGAAACATCTGGAATGGAATTCCTTGCCTTACTCTTGCTATCTCTGTGGCTTCTTTGCAGACATTACCCTCTCCAAATCTCACCATGAAATGTGTCATTTTGACATGCACAAATGTTTTTTTGCTACATGGGAATTTATGATCACAGGTGGTTGTCAAGGTAGTCAAAACGTACAGAGCACTTATCAAGTACCAGGTATTTTATGTATACCATATGTCTTAATCCTGAAGACCCTGCCATTCCAATTTATGTTTAAGGAAACAGAAAAGGCTAGTGGGCCTGACTACTCATAAAATGGGCTTTGAATCTCAACCTGAACCCAAGGTCCATCGTTTTTATTTTTGTTTCTTTTTACAATGACATCAAGTACAATTAACCTAAAATTTTCAACTTCAGGGACAAAGAAAAAAAAATTAAACCAAACCAATGAACAGAAATGTCCTGGGGCTCAGCTGAATACACAGGTGCTTCCGGGTTTCCAAAGCCAACTTTCTCCTCTCTGGACAAGCACATATCTCTGCTACTTAGTGATTAGATGTTAGAAAATGAAAGAATGGGTCCTTGGGAGTCTGCAAATCCTTGCTAAGTCAGCATGCTGTCTTTTCTCCACTGCTGTGCACATTCTCTCCCTTTTAAAGGCTGTGAGAGAGCCTGGCCTACAGCAGTCCGGGGCCACTACCTAGAGCTGGTGTAGAGAGCACTGGTCAGTGGGGAACTCCTAAGGAATGCCCCAGTCCTCCTTCACTGTCTGCTCAGATGTGATGTTCCAAGGAGCAGATCCCTTCAGACTCAGCCAAAACCCTCCTGCACTTTCCCTCTTTCTTGGGAGGGGTCCAGCTATCAGAATTTTCCCTTTCACAGGAGAAACACGCTACCAGATGGTAGTTTAATACAGTGCCTAATCTGAAGCCCTTTGAAGAAAGGCAGATGTCCATAAAATGGAGTGATATGATAGGGTATTATATCATAAAGACGTAATAAAAACTGTCTCCTAAAGTGGGCTTTCAGATGTAGAAAAAAATGGGGTTGGATGAGGAAGTGGGAAAGATTAGCAACATTGAACTTTCTACTTTCTTTCCAAGAGAAAAAAGAAAAGATTTAGAGCCAGGCATGTTAACCATCATGAGACCCTTTTAAAGATTAGAGCACAGAGCCTGGGAATGTGGCTTCCATGATACCAGCCCACAATGGCAGAGTTCAGGCTCACATGTGGGCACATGAAACAAGGTCTCACTATAGCCCAAGCTGGCTTAAGCTCATCATGTAGACCAGGCTGGCCTTAAACTCTCAGCAATCGTCCTGTCTCAGCCTCCCATGCACTGGGATTACAGGTGTGAATGACCACGCCTGGCTATCAACTTATTTATATCAACCTGCAACAGGGGCCAGGGCAGGTCTAACTGCCTTGGGTAGGAGAAGTATCAAAAAATTATAAATACATAGAGTGTATGTGACACAGAACATGTACATGAGGTAGATGTTCAACAAAATATGTTTGTAAAGGGGAAGGAAAAGTCAGTTATTGAGAACTCACCTCAAGGGCTTTCCTTCCAGTTTGCGTTTCCCTTCCATTTGCAACTGAACCTTCACTAGATCGGTGGGGTTGGCTAAAAACTGGCCAATAACACCAGCCATCATCCCTCCAATGACTGATTTCCTAATTACAAAAGGAGATCCAGTTTTTAAAAAGGTACCAGTAATTTCACAGATTTTACAGTGAACCAGTATCAAACTGGTGCAGACCCTGGGTAAAAGATTAAAGATAAAAGTGAAGAAAAAGGAAAGGCAGAAGTGAAACCGACAGAACGGCAGACAGTCCGAGTGCTTACTGACGGGAGGGTCGGAGGATAAAAGGGAGCCAAAAGGAAAAGCCTAATCCTTCCACAGCCTGAACCAGAGCACAGGGGAGTAGCCCCAAGGGCCTGGACGTCTGCACTCTTCGTTTCGCTGTGGCTGGTTTTGACTGCAGGGTAGCAAAGCAGAGATGCAATCAGCCTGGGGTGCAAGGCTGGGAAACCAAAAACTGGAAGCTACAATTGTGGTAGTTTGCCAAACAAAAGATTTCACAGCACTCCCCTTTCTGAGGAAATTGTTCCTAGTCTACAACACCAATCCCCTCAGCCAACAGTGAGCAGGACTAGAACGAAAAAAGGGATTCTTATAAAGAATTAGTTGCAGCAGAAAAATCACTCAGCAGGGGCTGGAGAGACGGCTCAGTAGTTAAAAGTAAGTGCTGCTCTTGCAGAGGACCTGAGTTTAGTTCCCAGTACCCACATGGGGACTCAGCATTCGACACCCTCTCCTGACCTCTGTGGCTCCCTGCATACATGTGGTGCACACACATACACATAATTTAAAATATATAAACATTTTAAAATCACAAATTAAAAGCTTTACTAGAACTGGGTGTGGTGATACACATCTTTAATCCCAGCACTCAGCAGGCAGAGGTAGAGGCAGGCAGATCTCTGTGAGATCCAGGCCAGCCTGGTCTACATAGCAAGTTCCAGGGCAGCTAAGGCTACAGGGACAGCCTGCCTCAATAAATAAATAAATAAATAATAAATAAATAAATAAATAAAATTTAATAGGCAGTTTGTGCTAAAAACAAGGTTATAGTTACATTTTGTCTAACAAGTCAAAGGTAGTTTTATAATCATTTCCTTGATTATTGGTGATGTTGCATGCTTTTTACATGTGTAATGAACAAGTATACTCCTTATTTTAGGAACTGTGTCCATGGATATGATATTCTTCCATATTTTCCCACAGTGCTTTCCCTGTTTTGGAATTTTTTGTTTGTGTTTTGGTGCCTTATGCATATTATTTATAGTAAACTATGTTTAATGTTTCTGTTCTAAATGATAAAGCAACAGGTACTTGAATTCATGATCTCATCTGTTCCTAAAAAGAGTCTAAAGGTAAGCACTAAGACAGAACACGGGGAGCAGTGTGTGCAAGGCACACACTAGGAAAGGAGAAATGAGATTCAAACCCATTTCTGACTTGAAAGCATTTTATGTGTATGTATATATATATATATTTGGGGGGGCTTGGGAGTTTAGCTCAGTGGTTAATATCACTGGCTGGTTTGATTCCCAGAACCCACATGGCAGCTAACAATCATCTGTAACTCTAGTTACTCCAGTGGAATCCAATGCACTCTTCTGACCTCCAGGGCATTGCACAACATGGGTGCACTTCCATACATGCAGGCAATACACTTATACATATAAAATAAAAACAATAAATAAAAATATATTTTGTATTACACTTAATCATGTATTTAGTGTGTGTCTGTGTGTGTGTGTGTGTGTGTGTGTGTAGATCAGAAGACATCTGGGAGTTGGTTCTTTCCTTCCACCATTGGGTCCCAGGAATTCAACTCATGTTGTCAACCTGACTACAAGCACCTTTATCCACTGAGCTATCTCACTAGCCCACTACTATGGTTCTGAATAGTCAATGACATCATGGCCATACGAGTCCTTGAAATTGAAAGAATGGAAAAAAATGTAGCAGTATTGCAAGAATTAACTTGCATCACAGGGTCAACCTGGGAGTTAAACACTAGGTATGTTGATTTAGAACTCAGCTTGTATGTGAGGCTGAGGCTGAGGAACCCAGGATCACACAGAACTTTAGGAGAACAGACAGCCAATCCTCAGCACTCGGGGAACAGGAATGACACTCCCACTACAGCGCTCTTCCCTTGTAAAAACACTGATTACTAAAAGTGAGTCCTGGCTTTCAAGGAGCTAACTCAGCCACTTAGATTAGGGCTTAGGTAAGAAGAAAGGAAAAAACAAAACAAAACAAAACAAAACAACAACAACAAAAAAACAGAAAAACAGGCAAAGGGGAGACTAGAAAGATACTGAAAGAATCAAAACTCATAGTGTCCAGAAAGTCAAAGGAGTGAGTCACTTGAAAAGGCCACCAGAGGTGTCTAAACATCCAGGGAAATGAGGACTTGGCCCAAAGTCAAGCTATCTAATATACTCTTCATTCTTACATTTTGTGAATGGAGTATATTAGTTTGTGGGTTCAAATCTTGAAACTGTTAAGTACTTTTCCAAACTTCTAAATTTATGACCTAAAAATAAAAGAAATAAAAACAAAAGAAAAATTGGAAAAAAATTAAAAAATTAACATGCCAACCTAAATTTCCTGGAATGAGAAGATGCAGATGTAAAACTGTTAGCTAAAACAAGCTTTGCTTGGAGATGACGAAGGGTTTTAGACTGTATCTTCATCACAGTGTATCCATCCCTTATGCACTAAAAATGATCACAACAACCCCAAACAAGTTGAAACTCGCCAGCCTATGACTGTGAAATCCACTTCCAGGCATTTTCCTCTTAAAGAAATTTCAGATAATTCCCAAGGCAGGCTAAGATTAAGTATCAGCATGAAGACCCAATGGCTTAAAGCAAGCAAGAGCTTTAGTTAAGTTGAGAAGATAACATATTTTGCTGTTATTATGTTAGTAAAATTGATTTTTAAAAATGGGAATAATAGTTTACTTCCTTAACATAGGCTTAAAGAACTGGATCACACACAAAATTCTAATAATACAAAAGTCAGAACCTGAAAAAAACAGAAACAAAAACATGCATTAATCACAGGCTAGTTTTCCAGAAGAAAAGCTGTTATTTTGTTTATTCTTGGGTGACTTTTTTCTGAGATAATATTTTTCATTTAGAAACTGAATTTTGAGATCACTGATATCTAAATAAAATTGAAGTCACATAGGTAATCCCAATGTATTTAAATGTGATTTTTAATGTAAGCAAAGGATTTTATAAGAATGTAATGCCTAGATTTTTCCAAAACAATCCTAAAACTGAAAATAGTATCTTTTGCTTATAACCACAAAATACAATACAATGATTTAATGCGTTACATTTATATTCGCCGCAAGAAACTAACAATAATAAAAATGGTTAGCATTTGAAAAATGGTGCTCTAATAAAATTCTTTTTGTAAATTTGTTTTTGAGAGAGGATCTCATTGTAGCAGAGGCTGGCCTCAAACTCCTGATCTTCCTGCCTCCACCTCTCAAGAATTGGGATTATAGGTGTACATCCCCACCCCACCCTGCTTATAATTCCTTTAATATTACATAAATTTCTTTAATATTTAATAAATAATGTAAATGAACATGTCATATATGTATTTATATTGTGTCTGTAAACAATGTACCCCAAACACACATTTATTTGGATTTCTATTCTATTTATTATTTAAAGTCTATTACTGAAAATAATTTTAGTGCAAATGCATAATTTTAGATAAATGTAATGAATAAATATTAAAGCCTTTAAGATCACAGTATATTATTTTTGAACTAAGCTTACCAGAGGGGATAATGCTTATCTTCACTTTTGCCAAACACAACCTCCCGGAGATGCTCATAGGTGACCATCCGACCTCCAGAGTACACTGTGTAAACAGATTATGAAAAATGCAAATTTAGTTCTGTGCCTAAGGAAGTAAGAGGACCTTCTGACCTGGCTGGTTAATCTCTCTGGCTGTGTCTTTCTTCAAGCCCCCGAGTTCCAAACACATGGAATTCTTGGCATGTCCCTGTGTCAGGACTTCTTAGTCCTTGTTTGCTCTTTCTACAATGAAGTTTCCTTTCTCTGCTTTGATTACCCCTCTGCAGCTTTCAGGACTCTATATATTTTAGAAAGTGCTCTCTAACCTTCCTCCCAACATTCCAGGCCCCATATTACACATGCTAACATGACAATTATTATATTGATTAGGAATTAATTTATTATTTTTACTTATCATTCCTTCAGACCATTCCAGGCAGGTTTTGCATGTTATTAACTCAAAGATGCTAGTATGTAGCTTGGTATACAAAGGAGATTATCTCTGAATAAACATATGTAACTGCACTAGAGGATTGATTAATATTTCTTTTCAGCTAAGTTTTAAGCACATGATAAAAAAAAATCTTAACTGTGGAACAACATGTGGTACCTAGCAAAATACAAATGAAGAGAGGCAAAGCTCCGACAACAATGGGATCCAAAAGAAAAAAAGTACTTTAAAAGGTGGAAACTCATCGTTAATATCAGCACTTGGTATTCATACTGAGACTTTTCTTGACCCTTCAGGGCATTTGACTTGGTAGTTCATGAAGATAATTATGAAGTATAAAGATACCAGCTGTTTCTGTGCATAATTCTGGCTACTTTTAAAATTATTATTACAGGCTAACATTCACACGTGAAGAATGGAATATTTAAGAATAGCAAGCCAGTAAATAATTAGAACTTTGTGCTTTGTTCTGATAAAGTGTAGAGGTGAAAAATGCCCTACCTATGCAACTTCTCTGAAACCAAGCTTGGATTCTGTTTACAAGTTGATTAGTCAATATTCCTGAGAGAACCACTCTAGAGACCAAATAGAAAAATGCCCTTGATGACAGAGTTACTACTAACAATCCACAGAAGTAGTTAGCCTGGGAAACTGAAGCAAAGGTCACCTGTGTTGCACATGCCCTAGTGCCAAAGTTAGAGGAGGCAAGGCTCCCCATTCTCTCTATATTAACCTGGCTCTGATGTATGAGAAAGATATAAGTATATCTTGATTTTCCAAGAACATGAAAAAAAAATTAAATACTGTATTTAAATTTTCTGTGGTAGGGGGAAATATGAAATATTCATTTGCTTTGTCTGACATCATTGAAGAACTTTTTATTAGGAATATTTTCTCCCCCCACCTCACTTTGGTCTTTTTGAGACAGGGTCTCCCTATAGCCACAACTAGCCTGGCACTCTCTATCTCATAGAGATAGACCAGGCTGGCCTCTATCTCATAGAGAACTACCTGCCTCTGGCTGAGTGTGGAGTGCTGGAATTAAAGGTGTGTGCCACCACACCCAGCTTAGAAATATTTTTAAACATATGGAAAAGTAGAAAAAAACATAATTTCCTTTATATCAAGATTTATCAAGTGATAACTTTTTGGCTGAACTATTTCGAAGTGCTTTACAGATAATGTGACATTTTATTCTTTTTTTTTTCAAGTGAGCATGTCCGTGTGGTGTAGTGTATATGCACATTCTCATGTGTGGGACAACATGTGTGTATGGGTACACATGCACATATGTGTGCATGCACGTGGAGACCTGAAGTTGACATTAAGTGTCTTCCTCAATCACTCTGCATTTCATTTATTGTGTCAAGATATCTCAATGAACCCTGAGCTTACCAATTCCTGCTAGTCTGGCTAGCCAGCTTGCCGTGGGGGATCACCACGAATTTGCTCTTAAGTATTTACTTGTGAATGCTTTTCTGAAAACTTTGGATAGTAACTCCTTAATAACAACCAGTAATTAATGTTTTCTTCAAATTTCTTTTACATATCAGTAAGTGGGGGAGGAAGACCTAGTGGAGTTTTAGACACAGGGGAAGAGAAAGGCAGGTGAGAACACAGAACTCATGGCAAACTTACCAGTTAGAATCAAGATAAATACCTACGTGTCTGTAAATGGCAGGTGTCACTCCTTGCCACAGTTTAAGAAAGCCTTCCTCTTGGACGATTCCTAGGGCTGTGCGCACCATGCCCCTGTAGGGGGCAGATTCTCTTGCACTATCTCCCAACCTGGCAAGAGCAGCCTCCCCTTGCATTTGGAGTCGGGTTTTTGTGAGATCCAGGGGAAAGGTTGCTAACAAGAAAAAAACAAATGAGGAAGAAAGGCCCAAAACATTCAGAGAAGCAAACAAAAACCTCTAAAACCATAGGATTCATTTTTGCCAAGATTTGGAGACTTTGAGTATGAGACTACAACAGCATCAACCAGAGAATCTGAAAAGTACAGGCTTCCTCTTCTCTTTCCATGTGTTCCTATTTAGAAGACTGATGAAGGTTTGGAATCAGTTATGTGTTCTCCAATTAAGAGTCACTGGCCCAGAGCATCCCAGATCGCTGGTGAAAGGTCAAAACCTGACTACTTTCAAGCCATTTTCATTCAGAACTTTTAATCTAAAACCTACTTTAATTTTCCTAATGCAAAATAGCTTAAAGTATTCACATTCTGCTGTGTCCCTTTAACTACAGCCATGATTATTTGAAATCTGATAGAAATTTAGAGTCTTGTGGTATATATTCTTAGGTACTTTAATAAACTTGAAACTGAATTCTGTAATGGCATGGGTGATTGTTCCATGCGGATGAGTCAAAGTCTTGGTGTCTGAGATAAAGAAGATGCAGTCTCCTTGTATACAAGGGTGGCAATGTTCAGCATTCTTTCATTTAAGGTATATATGCAATTATTTTGTCAGGGCTGATAAGTTTTACCCATACCCTACTTGTGACTTCTTTAGAAGTCCCAACTTTGTTAAAAAATTAGGTTTACATGTTGAATTGGGGAGGGCTATTTTATCTTAAAATATATTTAAGCTACCTGACCCACATTAGGAGGATAAAGCTTATAAGTTCTTAAACACAATGTCCTGAATAATGAAATAAGCACATTCAGACAAGTTCATGAATGGCACTGCTGTTACATAAGACTTTTCAGTGACCACTACTGACACAGAATCCCAGCATACCTTGTCTAAGACATAACAGAATGGGGTAGGAGTATTAAAATCTTTCCACTGGATTTTGGAAAAGTTGGTTTCTAACCAATAGTTTCCTTAAAACAGAAGTATCATGCTTTATTAACATGTGAACCTGAAAACTATTAACAGGTCAGAGCCTTTGTCTAAGTACAAATTCTGCCTCTCAAAGTATTTTTTGTGTTTCATTCTGGCTACTCCACAATTCAGATTCCAGCACTGAATTGGTGCGCACTACACATGAGCACCACGTTTTGATTCTCCCTTACCTCCCATCACTGTTCCTCACACAATTTTTCCAGTAATTTTAACACAAGTTTTCCTGTCCAAAATACAATGCGTTTCAGGGAGAAACATCAGTTCAGAAGCAAACTGTTAATATATCTAATCATCAGAAACCTGATTTTAGATCTCTTTAACAGTCCATGAATTTTATTTCAACAAACCAATGATAAATAAGGTTCCATCAGCCTGGAGAGGAGAGAGAGAAAAATAGATTTGCCAAAGGGTGAGAGGGAAAGAGTACAAAGGACAAAACAACAGATGTCTTGCTGGCTCTGCTAGAAATAAAAAGAAACAAACTTATGTTAGAACAAGCCTGACTAATGTTTTGAAATGACGAATGCATTAGAGATGTTCTTTTTTTTTCTTTTCTCTTTTAATTCACAATAAAAGTAAGGGTAATCTGAAATAGCTTCACAGGAACACAAACTCTACTCATAAACCCCTTGGAAGAAACACCACCTGCTCATGCCAAGATGCCATAACCCACTCTAGGTGGTCTGTTAAGTGTTTTTCTGACTCATCTCAGCAGATGAAACTGTTCTTCTATGATGTTCTCATGACACATAAAAATAACTTCTCTGTTGCAAGCAGCACATTGTAAATGCCTTTTCTGCATGTGACCCATCAGCCTATAAGAAGGTCATACAGGGGCCTTTTCAACTGCACAGCCCCTGGTCTTTCTATTATTGCAACTGTAAAAAAGTCCCAATTAACAGACGCCCTACGTTGCAACTATCATTTGTACATAAATGGCTTCTCAGGAAGGTAAATACAATATTGGTAAGTTCAGCTCAAAGAGGTGATGTTAGGCAGGCAGAGGCTCCCAAAGAAAGGTTAATAGCTGAAATTCCACAAAATGGGACCCACGAACGCGAATCCAAAACATACAGTGTGGCTGTGTAAGAATATAAATTGCTACAGAGATGACCTCAGTAAAGATGAAAAGAATGTGAATAAATACACTGTGTTTCTAAAAAGGTCATCACGAAAGGGAAACTGATTCCTAGAGAGGGTGACGGCTCACGAAGCGCTCAAGAGTACACATTCAAACACAAGAGCACGTCCCTGGTTCCCGGGGGAGTAACTAGTCGAAATGGGAAGGATCTTGGAGACCTCCAATCCATCCTCTCCGAGCTGGCCTAGCCCGCACCTGACCACATCCTCATTTAGACAGGGCGCTAGAGAAGAGGGCGCAACCTCGGAGGATGCTCGGAGCCTGGAGCGAAGCTGCTGGCCCATCCCTCCCCCAGCGCCACGCCGCGGCCACTGGCCTGGGAGGCCGAGGCGGGGCCGGCCCGGTACCTAGCTCGGCCACGGTGGCAGCGCAGCCGGACAGTAGGAACTTGCTCGCTCGGGGCCATCTCTGCGCGAGCGGCAGGAGCGTCTCCTCTTCCTCCGGGACAGGCATCCAGCAGCCGCTCAAGACCACAAGTCACCCCCTGTCGCTGGTGCACCTGCCACGCTGCCGGGGCGCCCCTTCTCAGCCCGCGAGAGGTCAGGTAGTGACCATGTCCTCCTCACTCGTATCAGCAAAGCCACAACCTTGCCTAGAAGCTGGAGTGGTCCAGCGCCCCCGGTGCTGAACAACAAAGCGGAGTCCACGAAGCTTCTGGGAAATGTAGTTCTCCGAGTTCAGAGACGGCTCTGATTGGCTGGCCGCGAGGCGCCGGTGAGCCAAGCCACAGCGCTCGGTCTCCATGGCAACAGTTAGTGTTCCCGCCCACCCGTTTAAGCCCAGTCCAGCCCAGCCCAGAGCAGCCCAGAGCAGCCCAGCCCAGCCCAGCCCAGCCCAGTTCTTGCTTTTTTTATTTTTTTTTTTGAAACATTTTTTTTTTTTTTTTTTTTTTTTTTTTTGTGGCCAGGATTTGAAAGAGGAAGGTGGGAGGGAGGGCACAATGCAAAAATCACTTAAAAATTGGGGCGGGGCAAAGAGCTGTTACGCAAAAGAACTGCTTGCAAAAGTTTCAGCAAAAAGTTTGGGAGACGTGGTGCGTTTTCCTCATTCCACAGGGGAGGAGTTAATGCTGGAGCAGGACGATTTTTTTTCAAACTTCTCTAAATCTGGAAGATGGAAGACATGGAATTATTTTCACCAATAGCAGTTGCAGTCCTGGGAGGCTGTACTATTTTCTTATTCCTTCAATGGAAGGGGTTGCGTAGACCCCCGTGCATTCAGTGCTGGATTCCTTGGATAGGAGCCGGATTTGACTTTGGGAAAGCCCCTCTAGAATTTATAGAAAAAGCAAGAATCAAGGTATGTGACTATGCCAGGAGGGGATTTAGGGGAGGTAATGTTTTCTTTTAAATTTTTCTTTCACTGTTAGAACATCAGGCACACACGTTTCTGATAATTAGACAATCTCGTCCATTTTTCTGTTCACAATCACCAACTGTGTCCTAAGCAAGGTATTGCGAAAGAAATGAAAATTTCAGCTTGTTGGAAGTAGAAATCAACTTTGGGGGTTAGTAAATTCTAAGTGTATACTTACTAACTTAATGCTTTCAAAAATTGGGCAACTTTTCTGTCTGTGAAAATGAGTAATACATTCATACCCCAAGTAGACAGAACATTAGGATTTTGTAAAAGTTGCTCTGCCAAGTTGATCTTTAGAGACTCAAGATTTGCCCTTGTTTTCATCTAATATTGTTATTGGTGATGGTTTCCTACTTTCAGTAAGCCCTAAGGACTTAATAAGCAATGGATTCTCTAAAAAAGGCCTTTGTCCTTAAAGCAGCTTTTCAAAGCCTGAGCACTTTAGAGAAGACTCATTTATTATAATGCCTTTGAGATGGGGGTCTCATTATGTAGCCCTGACTGGCCTGGAACTCCCTATGTAGACCAGGTTGGCCTCGCATTCATAGAGATCCACTTGCCACTGCCTCCTGAATGCTGTGTGATTAAAGGCATGCCCATCATACCTGTTTTTTTTTCATTGAAGATTTCATGGTTGGGAAGATGGCTCAGTTGATAAAGTGCTTTCCTCACAAGCTTAAAAACCAGGGTTCGATCCCTAAAATTCAAATTAAAAAATAAAAGAAAGATCCAGTGTGTGTGCGTGTGTGCATGTGCGTGCGTGTGTGTGTGTGTGTGTGTGTGTGTGTGTGTGTGCGCGCGCGCGCGCGCGCGCCTCTGATTCTAGTTCTGGGGAAGCAGAAGCAGGAGGATCCATAGAGCTCACTGGTTGGCTAGTGTAGCCCAGTCAGCCAGCTTCAGGATCCCTGAGAGAACCTGTCTCAGAAAATAACATGAAGGACTGGCGAGATGGAATGGTGGGTACAAGCACCTGCTGCCAAGCCTCGTGGCCCGAGTGCCATCACCCAGAACACACATGATGGAAGGAGAGAACTGACTCTATCAGGTTGTACTCTGATCTTCACACAAGTGCCTATTCACATACACATGTATGTGCACACAGAACAAATGAATAGAAATGTAATAAAAAATAATGTGAAGAGCAACTGAGGAAGGCATCAGATATCGACCCCTTGGCTCCACAGGCAAGTGTATGTGTGTTCACACACACACACACACACACACACACACAAGACTTTATTGTACTTGATTATCTAATTTGTGTGATATTACCATTGTCATTATTATGTATTATATTACAATACTTTCTATGCTTATCTATTTTCCACATAGGTTCCTATCTGGTTAGCTCAATTTACAGGTAGAAGCTTGATGAGCTGGATTCGAGAGCTAATGGGAGGTAGGCATGGTGCTGCATACATGCATCCTACTAGCTGTGGGGCTGAGGCAGGAGGATGAGTTTGAGGCTACACAGTATGGGAAAAAAAAAAAAAAAAAAAAAAAAAAAACAAACCAAGATGTACATAAGAGTAACCCAGACTGTCACAGCAGAAATTAAGCACTAAGAATTTAGTGTATATTATTTTGGTATTATTTTAATGCATTTACAAACTAGTAAATCATATGTTCTGGATAGCTTTAGTGTCAACTTTACACACCTGGGTTGAGGGAGCCTCAGCTGGGGAATTGCCTCCATTGGACTGGCCTGTGGTCATGTCTGTGGGGCATCTTGATTACTGAGTGATGTGGGAGGGCTCAACCCACTGTGGGTGGTGTCACGCCTGGGCAGGTTGGCCTGTGTTGCATAAGAAAGCAGGCTGAGCAGGGGCTAGGAGAGTAAGCCAGTAAGCAGTGTTCCTCCATGGCCTTTGCTTCAGCTCCTGCCTCCAGGTTCCTGCCCTGAGTTCCTACCTTGGGCTCCCTGATAAACTGTGACCCGGGAGATGTAAGACAAATAAACCCTTTCCTTCCCAAGTTGGTAGTGGTCAGAGTGTTTTGTCACAGCATTGGAGAAACAAACTAGGACACCATATTAGAATAAAACTGCAATACTACTTTATATATTTTTAGATTTAGACACATGAATAATATTTCTATATCAGTAATTCTCTTAGTCTTTTTTGTATGTGTTATATGATATGTGTGTGTGTGTGTGTATGTGTGTGTGTGTGCAGGTGAGCTAACCCATGTAGACACATGAGGGGTGTAGAGGCTGACAGTGGGATGTCTTTCCTCTATCACCCTTTACCTTATTTTTGAGACAGAGTCTCTTAATGAACTTGGAGCTTAGCATTTCAGATAGACTGGCTGGCCAGTGAGCCCTGGGGAACTGCCTGTCTCTGCCCTCCAGTGCTGAGGTTACAGGCACATGCCATCATGCCCCAGCTTTTATGTGGGTTCTATGGATTTGAAGGCACATCTTCATGTTTGTACAACAAGTACAATTTGCCCACTGTGCCATCTCTGGGTCTGGGTCTCTCTTTTAATTGCCATATTTCGTCAAATAAGGAATGGATATTTTACTGAAATCCCAATAGTTGGCTATATGGGTTGTTGCTAGCTGTTTTTCTTTATTTCAACCAATAACTCGATGTTTTTGCATCTTTCTCTCATTCTACATTTTGAATTTATCTGATTATTTTCTCAGAATAGATTCCAAAAATAGATTTACATCTGGGGACAACTTAATTTTGCATACTTAAATTGTTTAGATGCTCATAAGCCAAAAGTAAAAATAACAACAAAACCCCCATAAAACTTAAACAAAAACAAGAGGCTGGAGATTGCTCAGCAGTTAAGAGCTCTTTCTGGCTGGCTGCTCTTGCAGAAGACCTGGGTTTAGTTTCTAGCACCCACATGGCAGCTGACAACCATCCATAACTCCAGTTATAGGGAATCCCATGCCCTCATCTGACCTCCACAGGCATTGCATGACACTGGTGCACTTACATACATACATACATACATACATATATACATACATACAGGCACTCATACACATAAAATAAAAATAATAAATATTAAAAAACAGTATGGACAATGAACTATAACCTAAGTCTCATACCATAAAAGAAAAATAAGCTTGAAGTAGATCACAGTCTTAAATGGAAATACAAACTACAAAACTTAAAAGAAGAAGACAATATAGAAAAAGAAGAGAATGTGGAGCAAAGGAACAGGTTTTCACTTGACATTCAAAGCACATTCCATAAAAGGAAGGGCTGATGAACTGAACTTCATAAAATTGGAAAACATTTGCTCTGTAAAAGAATCCACTAAGAGAA